ATGCAAACATTACTTTTTAATGATTTAGGGTTAAGAGACATGGAATCATTAAAAGTTATGCGCTCTGTATAAGACACAAGACAGAAATAGAAATAATTCCAGGAGTTGGACACTATTATTAGTGAAAGTGAAAGATAGATATTTAACAGTAATACACAAAAGGAATACTAGAAACCCAAACATAAAAAAGGAAGGAAAGAAAGACACGTAGATTAATATAAAAAATTTAAAATATGGACAATATTTACATTAAGTTTCTTATATTCATTATGTTAAGTTTTCCAATTAAACATGGTTATATGTCCTATTTTTAAAATATTAACATTTAATAGTATTTAATTATAAATTATATGAAACGAAAAAGAATATATAATCATGTTTGATTAGATAGCTTGGTGTAATGGATATAAAAACTTTAACATAATTTTTTTAAAAAAATATTATATGTAATTAGCATTCATATTACATAATGCATGTATATATTTAACTTAAACTCTTGACAAAAACGAAAAAACAAACCCCTTTGAGAGGGCTATAAAGGCCTTGAAAATTTCAAAAGATGAAGAGCCAGTTACTGAGAAAGATCTCGAGTAAATAAGCTGACACAGAGGTCTGAAGCCGCTTGCATTAAGCTTCCAATTACAACAACGCCACTTGGAAAAAGAAAGCACTAGTTAATTACATCAAATGGTGACCGATACTATTTTCTTATCCTACAATTTTTTTGAAAAAAATGACAAAAAAAAGTTGAAAATTTGTAAATGTCATAAAAAATTTATTGTCATTTACAAATTCAGTATTGTTAACATCAAATAAAATGTTATTATCAAACTTGATTTGAAATTTGGTATTTCCACTTTTTTTTGTCATTATCCCTTTTTTTTTATTTTACAAATGTGATATGAGAATGATTTTTTATATGAATGTTTGAAAAGATAACACTATATGATGTCCTAATTAATAAGATAATACTGTATGTCCAATTATTTATTTTTGATAAGTAAAAGTTAATTGCTTATAATTCATCAATTAAAATAGGGAGATGTTAAGTGTATTGTAAATTTTAAAATTCTAAAATATCATATTTTAAAATAAAGATAAAATTTTATATACCCTCATAATTACAGTTTAATATTCACAAGCACAGTTGACAAATTACAAGAAGCAATCGACGAATCTGATTTCTAAGTTTTGAATATACAGATATATATATATTCCATCGATAATTAAATATTTTTAAGCAGACAAAATGAAATTTCTTCTTGATTTTAAACTTTAATATTATGAATATTGTATGAGTGGATGTCCATAACCCCTAACCTTTAGAATTCTTATAGGATTCCTTACCTTCAAGTGTCATAAACTATATAACCTCCCTAATAAATGACTTGGAAGGATTTTTTTTATTGTTAATTCTATTATGATATTCTTTATTCATTTGTAACCTTAGTATAAGACTTCAATACTTGGAGGCCTATAAATAGAAGACATGCATATAAGGTATCTGTATCAAGTAACAAAGTGAATGAGAAAAAGGCCATCTTATCTATTTCTTGCTTTCTTTTCTACTCTCTAGTCTATTTATTTTTTTATAGCTTTACAACACGTTATCAACACGACCTTGTTTTAAAAATTTGAGATATAAACCCCTTGTAAGATGATGTATTCCAATCATCATCATATATATAATTTATACTGTATGTTGTTTTATCCATGTTATACTAACTTTCATATACATATATAAGTATATATATATAATTTATACTGTTTATATTTTCTTTTCTCTCATTATATTTGTTTGTATTTATTTATGTTGCTTATATAATTTATTCATAATAATGCATAATAATATTATATGTGATTATAAAATGTGATTTGTATAGTTATAGCTTTATCTATTATTTATAAATTTATATTTATTTTGTTTATTTTATTGTAGCATTATCTTTGTTTTTAATTTAAATTGTTATTATATATTAGTTAGTCTATTGTAATATTTATATATTTATTTACACTACTGCTTTTCCCCCTCCCTCTATATATACTTATGCACATTGTCTCTATATTATGTATTGTAACTGATTATTTGTGTTGTTTATCTTTTTCATTCTCATATATGTTTATTTGTTATTATTTATTCATTCATTTATTTTTGTTTATAATTTTAGAGGAATAAATTATTTATAGGTGATTTTTGAATCCTAATATTTTATTTATTATGGTTTTGCATCAATTTTATTATAATTCTAATTTTTGTTATTATCATTTTAGTTTGATTCATGGACAATTTTACCAAACTCGAGTTTATGGCTCTTGACATCACCAGAAAAAAAATTATTTGTCTTAGGTCTTAGATGCTGATATCCACCTAGATGTCAAAGGTCTAGGAAATACTATTTTACCTGAAAATGAAGCAACTAGTCAAGATAAGGCTAATACCACGATTTTCCTATGCCACCATTTGCATGAAATGTTGAAAGCTGAATACCTAACTGTGAAAGACCAGTTAGAATTGTGGAATAATTTAAAAGAAAGGCATGATCATAAAAAAATGGTAATTTTGCCTAAAGCTCGTTATGAATAAATACATTTGAGGCTCCAAGATATTAACAAGTGAATATGTTGTTCATGACAAGTGATTTTATGACTTCATATTAGTGATGATTAATTTTTAATAACTATTCTCTATCACATTATAAAAAATGGATTAGTGTTCAGGAATTAGTGATATTGTATGACGCTGTATAACATTATGTAACAAAAATCATATTTTTTTTAAAATTTATATCAGCAAATTAATTAACAACTGATGGTGCAGTGAGTGACAAGTGACAAAACATATATTGACAATGAAGGGTGTGGATAATGACAACTAACTATGTATCAGAATGTAATACACAGTTAATTTTCATTTACTACTTTATATACATATAATTACACCGATTTTATAACCCATTAAAAAAGACATATAGTTGCATGTATCCAGTATCAAACTAATTATTTGTGTGTGTTGTGACATCTACAAAAAAAAAATTTATGTCACTTCTATGTACGAAAAAATTTCTTTTGCCATCATTTGTCTAGGATCAAAGTGGCTTTTTTTCCTTCCCATTTTTATTTTTTTTTGCCTCATGTAATTACTCACCCTTCTTTATTGCCTCTTCTTCCTCTTTTTGTAACCTCTACCAATGTGTCAAGAGTATAGAAGGTCATGGCCTTTGAGTAAAAAATTTAAAAAATCAGTTAATATAAATCTGTACAATGCTGTTACTATTGACAAGTCAATGAGTTATATTGACAACTGTCACGGCCCATATTGACAACATATTTTCCTATTTCGCAGTAAGGATTTTTAACTACACCAACCTTTATCTTTCTCATCAATTCCTTGTGAACCATGCCCAGACAAAGCAAGCCCACCTTCAACCCACCTACAATAAACCCAAAAACAGAACACCCATAATCACCCTACCCACCTATAATAAAACCCCAACTTGAATGACCAAACACACACCAAACCAAAAACACAAGCGATTTTTGCCAATGATTGACATTAATGGAGTGGATGAGATTTTCAGATGGGAATGGGGGAGAAGCAGAATGAAATTTGGGGTTTTTTTCCCTCTTGCTTTCTGCGTATGGACTATGGAGTGCTGATTTTTAGACTGAAAAACAGGACATCTTTCAGTTAGTGTGGGTGCATCTCACCAGGGGCAGAGGCATCTTTTTACAATTCACCAAATTGCACTCAAATCCCTTTGGGACTTCAGAATCATTATCAAATTTTTCGAGACTTTTTTGTAGTATTTTGTGTTATATGGGACCTCAATATCATTTTTCTAAAGAATAATCACATCAATGTTAATGCCAACGTATCAACATAAAGTATAAAATTTATATTCACGTCATTCACAAATCATGAATATTATTGTCCATTCTTCAAATTCTATATATGACACAGCTACTTCAGCCTGGGGGACAGCACACCAACGAAAGAATCTCACCGGTCATCGGCTCTCTGGTTAAACAAAAAGGAAAAAAAATCTCACCTCCTCCTTAAAAAATGAAAATCACCTTTCTGTAATTTGGCCTGGGCTATCGACAGACTCTGCGGGGCGAGCAGCCCTCACGGTGGGCCCAGGAAATTTATATTACTTTCAAAATATAAAATCTATTTTGTAGTATAAATTATATTAAAAAACAAGTTTTTTATTTAATACCGAAGAAGTATTATTTTTAAGATAAAATAGCTAATATTACGGCATTTTCTAAAGAATTTTTTGTTTTTATTTTTATTTTTAATGAAGCTATATATATTTAAAATATAAAATTGTGTTATAATTTTTAAGAATATATCAGAACTGTTGTCATACATAATATGTCTATGTTGAAGTCTCATATGAATGATACTATTATTGCTAAAGTACTCTAGTAATTTATTAGCTACAAGCAATATAGTGGGAAATTTAGGGGAGCACCTCCAGAAAACAGGAATGAAACTTTTTTTTTTTCCCTCGGCTATCCAAAATACTCCTTCGATCCTAAATATAAAACATTTATACACACTGTATAAGGGTCTTATATTTAAGATAGAAGAAGTATATTTCTAGATGTATGAGCAATAGTATGGCTTGTACTGGGTTTTATATATTTTTTATTCATGGTGTATCCTTCTTTTAATTTTCAATTTTGGATTCCTTTTTATAATATAAAATTAGCTTTAAATCATTCAGATAAAATTCTGTTTAAATTTATATATCCTTTAATTTTAAAATTTCTGTACGAGACTCAATTTAAATCATAATTGATTTAAAATTCTGTTTCAATTAATTTAAACCATAATTGAATTAAATCAATTAATTTAATTCAATATTTCTATTTAAATTAATACATCCTTGAACTTATTTTTGTTATGCTATTTTTATCATATTATCATTATTATTAATTTATTATTCCCTATTGCCTATATATACTTTCCACTGGGTGACTGCAGACTTCGAACGTTCAAACCGCGAAGTCCCAAACTAGAATACTCTACTTGCCATCGTAAATCGGTAAATCCAATGGCCACTCTTGATTCCGACGTTCCGATGGTGCCTGCCGGCGACGCAGCCGGTCCTTCTTCCAAAAAGCCTAAGCGATTCGAGATTAAGAAGTGGAACGCAGTCGCTCTCTGGGCTTGGGGTACGCTTGTCTTGAATCTCAACCCTAACTTTTTTCCCCTCCTTATTGTCTTATCCGATTCTCTTGTTTTATGTTTTAGATTATGTGTTTGGTATCATGTGTTTGTTTGTGATTTGGTGCTCATCGAATTGTGATTGCGCAGATATTGTTGTTGATAATTGTGCTATCTGCCGGAACCACATCATGGATCTCTGTAAGTATATCTCGTTTAAATTTTCAGTCGGTGGATGCTTCATTCGCTTGAGCTAATTCTTTTCTATGACTGCTTCAGGCATTGAATGCCAGGCCAACCAGGCTAGTGCCACCAGCGAGGAATGTACCGTGGCCTGGGGTGTGTTCTAAATACCTGTAACACCTTTCTTTATTCTTCAATTAAAAATTGAACTTTGTTCTCTTAGGATTCTGATATTAATAGGACTTTTATTGTGCTCGTCCCTTTTACATATTGATTGGAGTCAGAATAATTGCATTGTGGCTCTCTTTGATGTGAAATTTAAGAAAACATGCACAGAATTTGTTGTTAGATCAGTCACTTCACATTCACTGACTTTATATTTCTCTTCTTGTGTGAATTTTGTGATGAAACTAAGGGCGTCCTACTTCTTAGTTATATCTTGACATAGTTTTTCTCTATGACTAGCTGTACGTATTTGCTAGTGGGATGGCTTATCCTGTACTTCCGGAAGTCTTGTGCTGTGTTGAGAATTTGTGTGTAATGAAGGATAAGATATGCTTAAGGGCCATCATCTTTTAAATGAAGTGTACTGCATAATTGTAAAGAAAAGCGGTAATTGTTTCTGTTTTATGTTTTAATGTATTTGTATTTAGCTTTTCAACGGACTATGGTTTATTTTTTGTTTTCATTTAGGTCAGCAATATTAAGCCTTGCATATTTGAGGATTATACTAGTATCTATATTACGGAATATTTTAATTGGTACGAGATGACTGCTTTCAATGTATCATCTTTTGGCATAATGTGATCAATTGTTTGTGCAAGTGATTAGGGACTTATTGCATTTAACCAGGGATCTGTGGTTGAGAGCTTGCTGTCAACTATCAAGGACGCTTTCAATTTTGTCAAACGTCATTTTACACTATATTTCAGTTTTGATAATTCATAATTTTAAGCAAGACTTCTTTTTTTTACACTAAAGCCCCCTAATTTGTTCTCTTAGCTTGTCATTTAAGGGGGGAGATTTATCACTTTGCGCAAAAATAATATAAGATATATACATAATACGGATAAGACTCTCCCTCCCTGTAATGCGAAATGCCGAAATGTATGTCTGTCTCTTGCGTTGCATTTCACTCTAGCAGTGTTGCTTTAGCAAATGCAGGATGACTTTAAAGTGTTGCTTTGGCTTACTTATGTAATTTTTCTTCCATTCAGGGGTATGCAATCATGCTTTTCACTTCCATTGCATCAGCAGATGGCTTAAGACCCGTCAAGTTTGTCCTTTAGGTGTGTGCCCGGTACTTCTCTTCTGTATTGACTAATATTAATTTATGGGTGGTTGTTTTGACTTATTTGGTGTTTCTTTGTTGCTGCAGATAACAGCGAGTGGGAGTTTCAGAAATACGGTCACTAGAACATACATTTTCCATGTTGATGCAAAGTTTGATTTGTCATAAGAAATTATTGTACTTTCTGATTTTTCTTGAAAGTTGAAATTGTCTTTTAACTCTGTGATTTAGTCATCAGTTTATCAATATTATCATGTACTCCTTCTATTTTTAAATATAGATATTAACTAACTAATTCATATAGCTTTAAAAAATTTAGATAAGTTAATTATTTTTAAAAAAATGTGTGGTGGTTTTTTTCCCTCTAAAATAATTTTCTTTTTAATAATTTACATTAGAGTTATACATTTTGGGAAATTTTAACTCTAGGGATGGTTTTGCAAAACAATAAATCTAAGGCAAAAGAGAATGAAATTTTACATTTACAGTCAAATAATAACACGCCAATATTTAATTTTATAGTATCATGGTAAGTTGTATTCACCGGGAACTACGGTGTGGCTGGAAAATTGGGGTGCGTTACTTATGGAGGTTCTTGTTAACTTGCCATAAAATGGGTTTCATTTTTTTTTCCTTTCAAGTAAGGTAAACGTTTGTTTATGAAAGAGTACGCTAAATATTGTCCCGATAAAATTTTTGAATTAGTGAACAAAAATTGGCTTCAATTGATTCAGTGCCAGACATTAATATTTCCCAGTTGAGCCATTTTTCCACCAAGGTTGTACTAAATATATTCCTAAATCTGTAGCAAAATTTTTTTTTTTTTTAAATGAATCAAGTCATAAATTACTCGGAAAAGTTTACCCGCCCAACATTTAGAATGTAGGGTACTTTTTTTTTTCTTTTTCTTTTGCCAACAAAATACTTATTTCCGGTTAAATTAAAACATGTTTTCAAGTTCTTAAGTTATACAGTAATACCCAGATGGAATGAAATATAATAAAAAATAATGTTACCAATATTTTTTATATTTTTTTAAAAGTGAAAAAGAATCGGAGTTGAGTAATGATACAATACCCAAAAACATTACTCTTTTGGTTCTTAATGTAATATCTCATTAATTAATTTGAGTAGATTAAAAATGTTAGTTAAATTAGTTAATATGATATGTTTTTTTAAAAATATTGTAAGCATCTTTCTTAATTTCTTTACTTGCTCTCCTATTTAATTATTATTGAGAAAATATCAATGTGGTTAATTTTTAAAAAAATTGATAAACATGTGAAATATATCTTATATATGAGACTAATATTAACGCCTCAATTAGGTTCTATGTTAAGCATATGAAGAGTAGAAATAATAAAAAAAAACCATAACTAATACTTTCATTTTATATATATATTTTTGGTGAAAACTTTCATTTTATATTTTATGTAGAATGGAGTTTATTTTTTTTTGGCAAAAGAAGTAAAGAACTTATTTTCTGATATTAAAACTCTGTTGTTTTACTACCAAAAAAAAACTCTGTTATTTGATACATAGAAAACGGATTTAGTGGGAAAAAGAAAAAGGAAAACAAATTTAAAGGGAGGGAAACTATTTCTATAATGTTCATAACAAAAATTAAGCCACTTTTGATTAAGGCTTAACTAAGAAATACTAACTTGAATCTTTACTATAAAACCAGTTGACTAATTTAAAAAGATATAGAAAATCAGTTAAATTAATCACAAATGAATATTTTTTTTCCTAAAATAATCATATACATTAGAATAGAAAACTTTTAACTACTCTAAAAATAAATAAATAAATGTACGAGATAAAATGAATTAAAATTTTATATTTAAAATTAAATTAAATTTTTAATTAGTTCTTATATTTAGAATTAAAGGAGGTAGTATTAATTCTGGCAGTAAAAAAAATATTAATAATCAAATTGTAATTTTTTTTGGGGTAAACAATCAAATTGTAATTTAATAATGTGAAATGGAGTGTAGTTCCCCAAACATGCCTCAACGATTTTTTTTGTTTTTTAAAATACGTGACAGAGCGCGGTCACTGCATAAATAAGGTTCATTGTTGTGTGGTTTGGTAGCGTAGCCGTCAGCTGCAGAGGAGTTCGTTTGTGTGTGTAACTTCCGTCATGGCAGTAGGGAAGAACAAGCGAATTTCGAAGGGGAAGCCAGGAGGCAAGAAGAAGGCGTGAGCACCTTTTCAAATTTTGTTTTATTTTCTGTCATCTTTATTTTTGATTCAACCTATCTCTGCTTCCTTGGCTTTCAGAGCCGATCCCTTCGCCAAGAAGGATTGGTTTGATATTAAGGCCCCTTCTGTGTTCCAAGTCAAAAATGTGGGCAAGACTCTCGTCACTCGCACTCAGGGGGCCAAGGTAATTTGTTTCTTGCTTTTTTTAAATTTGAATTTAGAACTCAGGTTTCATTAGCTGATTTACAAGCTGATGAGGGTCATGCGTACAGGAAGATTCGGTTGAGAGCAGAGGATGTTCAAGGGAAGAACGTTCTTACTAATTTCTGGGTATGATGGATTGCTGGAATTTATCTTGCTCGTTCGAGGATTGAATTCCTCTGTAGAACTAAATGAACTATTATATCTAATCAAATATTGTCATCATTAGGGAATGGATTTTACTACAGACAAGTTGAGGTCATTGGTTCGGAAGTGGCAAATTTGATAGAAGCTCATGTGGATGTGAAGACCACTGATACTTACACATTGAGAATGTTCAGCATTGGATTTACCAAGAGACGTGCAAACCAGGTGAAGAGAACTTGCTATGCAAAGTCAAGCCAGATCAGACAGGTAAAATTACTGAATTGTTTGTAAGATGCAACACCTTCAACTTTCATGAAAACATCAGAGCATCATATTACTGGCATTTTGCTTTAAAGTATTTAACAAGTGCGTTCCTTGTGACTTTGCTTCTGAATTTGACTATTTGAAGATTGCATATCTAGAAAGATTACTTGACTATTCAAGTAATTATTTGAAGACAGCATCATATTGCTTGCATCATTATATTTTTATATTTTCAGATCCGCAGGAAGATGAGGGAAATCATGACAAATCAGGCTACCTCCTGTGATTTGAAAGAGTTGGTCCGCAATTTCATTCCAGAAATGATTGGCAAAGAGATTGAGAAGGCAACATCCAGCATTTACCCTCTACAAAACGTATTCATCAGAAAAATCAAGATTTTGAAAGCTACTAAGTTTGATCTTGGAAAACTGATGGAGGTATCTCTACTTGGTTAAATTTCCTTTTGATATATGTTTAATTAAGGGTCCAATAAACTTAAATAGAAACCAGCTAACCTGAATAGTTACAGTTAACCCTTCCTTCTTCACATTTGATTCCAATACTTGGCATGGTCCTCTATTTCATGATTTCTTAATCAATCTTTCTCAATTTTATATCCTGTTGTAATAGAAGCTGTAATTCTTCAATAAAAATGTCCAAGGGGTGAAAATTCTCTATCATGTGATCATTAGTAAATGGATGGAAACATTTTGGTCAAATAGAAAAGGATGGAAACTTGAACCGTGGCCTGATCTCTTCTGATGCCTTTGCTGTCTTCTACCTGTAGGTTCATGGTGATTACTCCGAAGACGTTGGTGTGAAGGTAGATATACCTTCAGATGAAACAATGACCGAGGCAACAACCGAAGTTGTTGGAGCTTGATTGACAATGCTTGCTTAGTTTTAGTTTAGAAGTTGTACTACATTAGCTCCACTGAAGTTTAGTTTTACAAAGTCCACCCTTTGTTATTTTCTCTGGTGGAGCAGTTTTGTAGTGAGATTGAATAAAATACAGTTGGGAACATTCAATATATGTGTACAAACAATTTGAACATTCAATATATGTTTACAAACAATTTGTTTTTTAACAAATAATTTGTTCTTTCTGTTACCAAGCTTGGGTGGAGATTTCTTTAATTTAATTATGCCCTTGAAAATGGTTTTCCTGGATATTGTTGATTTTAAGTTCTTACAAAAATTTGACAAATGAATATTTTTAGCAACTTAACTATAAAGTAAGGGGGTGTTTGGATGAAATCAAACCATGGTTTGGAAAATAGCTTCTGGAGAATAGATTCTAGAGAAAATAAATTTTGTGAACAAGTGATTCTGAGAAGTGAGAGTATTTGGATAGTTGTTATCAGAAGCACTTTTTATATATACAAATTATTAAAAAAGACATAAGTTAATATGATAATTACATAAAAGATAGATTTTATGATATATTTTAATTTGAAGGAATAAAATTGTTAATAATATATTTTTTACCAACATAATTAATACTCCCTCCGTTTCTTATTATAAGAAACATTTGATGCTTATGGCATATTCCTATATATAAGAGACACTTAAAAGTTGTCTCTGCTTTTTTGTGTTGATTTCCTATTTTACCCATATTTATTGTCTCCAACTCACACACTCTCTCTCTCCCACTTTTCTTTCTTTCAATAATTTAATTGTTTTCTCTCATGCTCTCTCTCCTTATTAATGAGGGTATTTTTGGAAAAAATTATATTTTTTACACATTGATTGTTCTTAACTAATTTTAACTGTTTTCTTTTATTAACGTAATTCGGTTATTCGTCTCTTATAATAAGAAACGGAGGGAGTAATACATAAGATAATATAATTAATGAAGATATAAGATTAATATGTTTATAAAAAATTAATTGCGGGATGTTGAAGTCATATTATTGTTGAGATTTACTCTGACAGGCACAATCATACTTTCCAATTTGAGCCAAAAGCAGAATGAATTCACTTCTCCTGAAACCAAGGTTTTGATCCAAACCATGGTTTTAGATTATGGCATCAAAATTGATGTTGTTTGGGTGACATTTCACCCAACCTATGGTTTTGCCTCCCAAACCATGGTTTTGGAAGTCACCCAAATAGACCCTAAGAAAACAATTCACTGTGGACTTGATTATATGAGAAGAATTTTGTCTTGATATGTGTGAAAATGCTTTTTTAATTGCTTTTGAGGGGTTTCAAACATCCCTTAACGGGGCTTGGCATGTTGGGCAAATAATTAATATCCTCTTTTAATTTTTTGTTTGTTTGAAAGAATTTAATTTTTTTTGGTTTGAAAGAAAACAATAAATGGAAGATAATTTAATAATTATAATACAATTTAATAATTATAATACCTTTAGTCTATTGCTCTATTAAAATATTTGTTGTTAATCTTAGTAATAAACGGAAAAGATTTATGTATCTTAAATAAAAAATCTTAGATTTATATTCATATCATTCTTTTT